GAAATTTCAACATAAGTAATTTATTGCGCCATTAAATCAAAATTTCTGTCAAATTCATCTCGCTCGCTTTTTTCTTTTATTCCGTATCAAAACTTTAAAACAAAAAAAATTGAAAATTTTGATATTTTGGGTCAGTGTTTTCTAGGCATAGGACAATAATCTTTGATGTTTGAACAATGCTTAAGTTTTTTTGATCTTTTATCAAGCGACAAAAAAATGGCGAACAAATAAATTTTGGCGCCAAAAAGATGCTTCAGAATTTTTTTTAGTTTAACTTTGTAACGTTTTTCGTTACTAGTTTTCATAGCAACATCATCGCCATCATCGTTATCATAACTTTTGTTATCATAAAATCATCATTATTACATTCTCCACCATCGCCGTATCATCATAATTACTATTAATAATCATCGTCATCAGCATCGTCGTCGTCATTATTAATGACATCATGAAGACATCTTGATGGAGAACTGCTCACCACCACTCAACATCACCACTCACGCCGATGACAATTCAGTCACGTAGGAATCAGTATATAGGTCAAGGTCATGCTGATGATGAGGAGGAAGAAGAAGAAGATAATGATGATGGCGATGATGAAGATGATAATTATACCGATATTTAAATATGATAGGAGTGAGATTTAAGTGATGATGCTGCGACAATGGTTGCGTGAAAGAGAGGAAGTGAGAGAGAGGGAGAGAGAGAGAGTGTGTGTGTGTGAATGAGAGAGAGAAAAAGAGAGAAAGAAGGAGAGAGTTGAGAGGTAAAACGTCATTAATTGCATTAACAATGACAATATCAGTATCATTCTAACAGAAAACAACAAAAAATACTTCATCTTATTTTTCTAATTTTTCTCAGTCTTCAACATTTTTAACCTCTTATAACCGTTTTTCACATTTTTGTTTTGTATCTGGTTTCTCGCTCTCTCTCTCTCTCTTTTTTTTCTCTTTTTTTCTCTCCCTCTCTCTCTTTCTATCTATCTCTTGTTTTTCAAAATTATTTTATATCACTCTTTTTCATCTATTTCTTATTGTTTTGCCAATTTTTGTAGTCTGTTCTTTTCATTTTAGTATTTTTTCCTCTTCTTGAACTCTTCTCACTCACTCACCCATTCACTCACTCATTCACTCACTCGCTCACTCACTCACTCACTCATTCCTTAATTTTTGTCTGTCTTCCCCAAATTTTTTTAAACTTCCATCCGTAATTTTGAACCCAGCCATGTTTGGCCTTCGTGAACTTTTAAACGCCTCAGCTAGTTTTATATTCAGAACCTAACGCTACAGAGTTCAACACCGAAGTTCGCCATTTTTATTCTTTTTCCTTTCTTCATACTACTATTACTACTACTACTACTACTACTACTACTACTACTACTACTACTACTACTACTACTACTACTACTACTACTACTACTACTAAAACAACAACAACAACAACAACAACAACTACTACTACTACTACTATTACTACCATTACTACTATTACTATTACTACTAAAAAAAATCATCATCATCATCATCATCCTCACCTTCCCATCATCGCCGTTCCTCTTCTCTCCATCATTCCCCTTAGCCTCGATACTGACCACCATCATCATCATCATCATCATCGCCACCATCGTCATCATCATCCTCGTTGAAGTTTTTCCGCCATTACGGAGTTTGTTACTTTTGGTACTGGTGCAACTCTTTCCGGTTAACATGTTTCGGATAAGAGGCTAGTGATGTATCTGCCGGATTAATTATATATTTTATTATCATTATTAATTATTATTATTATTAATTATTATTGTTATTATTAATTGTTATTGTTATTATTAATTATTATTTATTTATTATTATTATTTGATACGTATAAATATTGAGTATTGAAAAAACTTCTTGTGTCAACTTTTCTCAATAATAGTAATAATAATAACAATAGGAATAATATTACTTACCTACACACACGTGTATATACGTAATTGTAGTAATAATAAAAATAATATTAATAATACTACTAATAAAAATAACAGCAACAATAATAATAACATAAAAAATACTTTCATACACGTATAATACGCACATCCTACATACAACAAAGCACCGACAACAATAACAGCAAGGAATTATAAAAAATACAAAAAACATCAACAATACTGTTACTACTGCTGCTACTACTACTACTGCTGCTGCTGCTGCTACTACTACTACTACTACTAATAATAATAATAAAGAAACGGCTTACCTCGTAAATATGACTGGACAGAGGAAAAGAACGAAATTCACTTGTCAAATGTCCGTCTTTATATATAGTTTCCCCACTATATATATAGAGAGAGAGAAAGAGAGAGAGAGAGAGAGAGAGATAAAAGAGAGAAAGAGAAAGTCGGTGAGTGAATGTTTTTGTATCCTCTTGGTAAATAAAATTATATAAAAATGCAAATTACATAGAAAAATCTATACGTAAATTTGTGTACGTGTGTATGTGTGCATGCGTGTGTGTGTGTGTGCGCGCGCGTGTGTGTGTGTGTTACGTTAATTGAACAAATTAAATCGGAATGAAATACGAAGAGGATGAGAGGATAGAATTTGAACGGAACTCTTTTCTTACTCTTTTCGAACTTTCCAGCCAGAAGAATAATTCGAGTTGACTGCTTTTAAATGAAACCGTAGTTTAAACTTTAAAATTCGGAGAGGTCTTAAGGTAGGTGGATTTAAATTAAGAATGTCCTTAAAATTTCTGACATTTTTATTTTAAAATTTTCTTATTTGATAACTTATTTAATTATTTTTGTTCGAATTATATCTTAGTTTATATTCTTTCTTACAATTTGATCTTGGTTATAATGTAAAATATAAATTTTATGTCTGCTGTTCACCACAAACGTCTTTAAAAGTCTTTGTCGTCTATACAACAAAATGAAAAGCATGTACATAGACATTAGAAAGGTATGTGTTTGAACTTGGTCCCCAAGTGATACTACAGTTGTTTATGAACGTAAAACGATCTACTCTAAAAGCCAAAATGCTATATATTGATGTGTAAGACTTTCCTTGCTTTCGAAGCCGGTTATAAAATTTATGACGGCGACATAGGCAAACTGTTTGAACTAGTGACACTAAACATTAGTGAATGAATTTTAAAAAGTTCATGAAATAATTCTTATAAATAAATATATACTTGATATATATATTATATATAAATAATAAAATAAATTAAATAACATTAAATATATAAATAAATGATGAATTTGTTAGGATTATGTAACACGTAATGTATTATGTAACACATCATGTAACACGCACACACACACACACACACACACACACACACACACACACACACACACACACACACACACATATATATATATATATATATATATATATGTGTGTGTGTGTTTTCTGTATGTGTTTATGTAATCTCTAGTGTGTATACAGAAAGCATGACGGTACTGTATGATAATTATAGAACTTTGCTTATTCAGCGCATCATAATTTGTTCTAACGTTCGTCTATTTGTTATATTAGTTTACTTTTGTTTTTTTAATCTTCAAATTTTTCTATTGGTGTGTAATTTTACGTGCTTTTACCTGTTTTTTTTTATATTTTATTTTCATTTTAATTTTTAAGAAATTTCCGATTAAAATTAATTTTTGAAATAATGTAATACGTCGTTTAATTGTTTTAATTTGTTGTCGTTAAATTCAAACGTAAAATAAATTTGTTAAAATTTCATGATTTGTTACAAGTTACACTTTTACAACTTTTATTTTAACTTAGTTTATTTTTTAAGACAAGTCAGGATTTTTACACTGTAAACTTTACACTTTTACAGCTGTGTTATTAGTTATTGATTGGAATTTTTCACAGATTTAGTGATTTAAATTAGAGATATATTTTAAATTTAATTATTAAACCATAAAAAAGAGTTCATTCAATTATTTCTTTGTTTCTTCCTTCTTGATGCATGTATTCATTCATTCATTCATTTCTAGTTTATGTTTGTTTATAAATTTATAATTCATCATTCTTTCATTTATACATTCATTCACTTATTTATAATTCATTCATATTTTATGGTATCTATAGTATATAATATACTAGTTGCTTATTCAGGCTTCAATTAGCTACAAGTTCATGGTCCATTGCTCATTTAATTATGATAAAGAAAAGATAGTAAGAAAATGTTGAGAGAGAGAGAGAGAGAGAAAGAGAGAGACATCAACCAGATACTTTTAAATTATATATGTACATACAAGTGTACACATGAATACACATACATACACAACCATTCACACTTACACATACATACATAACATACATACATACATTTAAAGTACATACACACTTACAATACAAACACACATTTACAATCACTGTATTAGTAAAATGGTTTGAAATTATTTTCTACGTTTATATTTAAAGTCATGTTTCTCTAATTGTTGGTTCAGTACAGTTAGATACAATGCAATAGGTGCAAAATCAATCTGTGTGTGCATTATACAGTGTAAATAAATGTATGTACATGTGTGTGTTTGTATGTGTGTGTATATGTGTATGTTTGTACGTGTGTATGTTAACATATGTAACATACATATATACATACACACATACATACACACACACACACACATACATACACAATCAAATTCATACATATACACACATACATTAATGTTTATGTTATGGATGAGTTTGTATGTATCTAAAGGTATATTTATGTATTCCTACTGTTTGTATGTATGTATGTGTGTATGTATGTATGTTTGTGTGTAATAATAATCTATTATATTTATTCACAAATCAATAATTATTAACAATATATTTTTTACAATTTTTTTCAACAGAATTTGAAACTGAACTTTTAGCTACTTTCGAATAAATAAATAAATAAATAATAAATAAATATTACTAATTGTTATTATTATTATTATCATTATTATTATTATTAATTTTTTATAATAAATTATAAAGAAAGAATTAATTTGTAATTTAAGATAAAATAAAATGTCGGAGCAGAACTTGCGGATTGCCATCTTATTTCTTGTCGTTCTGTCTGGTTTGCAATGATTTTTTTTACTTGAATGTTTTTTGATTAATTGATTGATTGATCAATCAATTAATTAGTTATAAGTGTTTGATTGATCAATCAATTAATTAGTTATAATTGATTGATTAATTAGTCAATTAATTAGTTATGATTAATCAATCATTTCTCTATACCGTTGGTTCGTTTTACATTTTTTTAATCATCATTAATTTTCCCACCATCATTCTTCCAGCTGGTTGTCATCATTCTCTATTTTTTCACCCGCTACCGGTTCATTCATTCCTTCTTTCATTCACCCTGTTCAACACTCGTTCTTTAGTTCATTTATTCATTCATTCATTCATTCGTTCGTTCGAACCATTCATTCATTTATCAATTCATTTTCTTATTCACTCTTGATTTTTCATTCATTCAATTATTCGATAGATCGATCATTCATTCACTAATCATTCACTCATTACACAATCGCGTATTATAACTGACCATATAATAACATAATAATAATAATAATGATGATAATAATAATAATAATAATAATAATGATAATGATAATAATAATAATGATGATAATAATAATGATGATAATAATAATAAAAATAAAACTCTTAATTAGCCACATGCTACTACTTCTACTACACTGAAACAATAGTGAGCACAGAGCTGACCAAGACCCTATCAAGAACTTTGGACGGGCACTTCCAGGCTAACGTTACAAATGAAAAATTAAACATAGTCATACAGGTTGTCTGTCTGTCTATCTGTCTGTCTATCTGTCTGTCTATCTGTCTGTCTCTGCGTGTATGTCTGCGTCTGTATGTGTAGAATTGCTGTGGCTACAGCTGATTCTTTTGTGACTCGGTTAAAATCCACAGTGATTTTTTGACTATCATCATACACGAGGCAAAAGATTAGTTCTATGATAAACGCCTAGTCTCTCTCTCTCTCTCTCTCTCTCTCTCTCTCTCTCTCTCTATTTCTATTTCTCTTTCTCTTTCTCTTCTTTATTTGTTTGTATGTCCGTATGTGTGTGTGTCTGTGTTTGTAGATACAATGAATAAAGGCGTCTGTTTTTACTGCTCACTGTTTGAATGCAAAGAGATCTGCCAGCCTGCTTGCTTCATCGTACACACGAGAGAGAGAGAGAGAGAGAGAGAGAGAGAGAGAGAGAGAGAGAGAGAGAGAGAGAGAGGAATGTCTTGTGTATGATATGACATTGATTGATTCACCCGTATTTTCTCTCTCTTTCTGTTTTCCCTTCTGTATTTCATTCTGACTGTTTTTCTCTCTCTTCTCTCTCTCTCTCTCTCTCTCTCTCTTTCTCTTTCTCTTGATATTGTTCCAATTATCTTTAACAGGAACTAAATGGAAAGATAAAATCCTTGGAAGAGCAGAAGAAAGTTGCAGACGCTGGTGTGGCACTCGAAAAGGTTGATGGTGATGGTGATAATGATGATGACGATGATGTTGATAACGATGATGATACAAGTTGTTATGATAATGATACTTTTTTAAGTTTAATAAACCAAAGCCTTCAATAAATAAATCAAACGAATTCAAATTGAAAAAAAATATTTTATTTTAAAGAAAAGTTGTGAAGAACAGCTGAAGAAAAAAACCGGTTATTCAGTATCTTTATTAATATAATTATTATTATTATAAATGCAATAATAATAATAATTATTATTATTTCTTATTTTTTAATATTTTTCAACAGAAGCTTGTGAGAAACAGTTGAAAGAATCTTGCTCTAAGTAATATTATTATTACTATTACCATTATTATTATTAATTATTATTATTTATTTATTTATTAATATATTTATGGTTGTCGTAATTTCCATAATTATTCAGTGTTGTTAATTGTGACGATGTGATGACGATGGGGATGATTTTTTTTCTTCTATATCATACAGGACTACCCTCGCCCCCAAATGATGTTAAGACCTCAAAGAAGTTGTGAAGAAGAAGATGATGATGATGGTGTGGTGATTATGATGACGACGACGATGATGATGATTTAGTGATGATGAGGTAATGATGATGATGATAATGAAGTGATGGCGAGGATGATGAAGATGATGATGACAATGATGAATATAATGTGGTAATAATGATGATGACGATGTGGTGATGATGATGATGATGGTGGTAGTAATAATAATAATGGTAATGGTATTGATGCTGGTAATAAAGAAACGTGATTCGTATTCATTAACAGCGCTTAATTTAAACTCTCGCTCAATCATTTCCTCGTAACATTTTAAAATCCATCTCTTCTCCCATTCCATTTAACTTTCAGTTATTCATTCATTCATTTATTTGATAATTTTTTATTTCAAATATACTTCTCATAGATAACGTAAGTAGAGAGAGATATATATAGAGGGGGGAGAATGAAAATTATGAAAGAGAAAGAGAGAGAGAGAGAGAGAGTTTAAATATGAATATGACTTCATTTATATTGTATCGAACTTCAAATAGATACCGTAAGTGGAGAGAGAGAGAGAGAGAAAGAGAGGTAGGGAGAAAGAGAGAAAGAATGAAAAATGTGAAAGAAAGAAAGGAGAGATAAAGAGAGTAACGTAAAAAATAAAGGTAATGAGTTAGTTATTTAATCATTTAATTGTATGTATTAATTATTTATTGTTTTGTTTGTTTGTAATTGTTCATATTGGTCTCGTTATTTACAAATTTAATGGGTTTATTTATTGTAGATATATATATATATATATATATATATATATATATATATATATATGCAGTTTTAGTTTATACATATGCAGTTTATATATATATACATATATATATATATATATATATATATATCATATCAATTTATAAACATATGTAATGTATATAATTGGTTTTTTATTATTGTACAAATTATACAATTTAAAAACGAAGACATTTGTTTATCTTATCTTCTTGATCAGCTATTATTGATTTCTGCGTGTGTATACACTGCTTAACGTCTGCGTCTCGCTATAATAACGAAACGATTCGATACAATATGTTATTGGGTGTTTTTTTCAATACGAGACGCCACTGTAAATAGCGAGAAATAGCGATACAATAACGAGAAGTATCGAGATCTCGGTTAAACTTGCTGACGTTAAACACTACTAGCGCTATGTAACATAAGTCATAGGCTGGATGACTAATTCATACCCAACAATATAACCTCGATGCACTCTTAGTAATTAACTTTTTATTTATGATACTGTACTGTGGTGTGCGTAATAAGTACTATAGCATGGATATTCATGGTATGTAGCTGTAATGTAGCTTACCACTGCAAATCTCGTATATAGTATAATTTTTAACGTTCAATTTTGTTGTCTTGTCTTCGTCCTACCTGCCACTTCATCTCTTTCAAGTTGGTTTTTAAGTTTGTTTAAGATTTGAAGTTACGCATCTATGTTAATTATCTATCACCGCTCAATTTTTTGATAGAAACTAGTAAATCTATAGATGATGAATAAATTGAACAAAAGCAGCATGGAATTAATTTGTAACGGACAAATTTTGAAAAATAGTTTTATTATTAATATTATTATGCTTTTTCATTACAAATCGTTTAGTCATTAATTTTCTAGAACCTATTTATTAGAACTATTTGAAAAACTTCCAAAACCTTTGACAACACACGTTCACAGCTCAATGCAAATTATAAAGAAATAATAAAAGTTAATCTCAGATAGTCAGATAGTAATGAAAGGCACAGAATAACCTATATATATATATATATATATTATATATATATAGAGAGAGAGAGGGAGAGAGAGAGAAAAATAGCGAGAGAGAGCTAAATCTCAAATATTTTTAACAAATAATATAATATAATGTAATTTATAAGAATAAAAAAAAAATTTACGACGCAAAAAAACGCGCATGAAAATAAATCAATCAAATAAGACTAGATATGTTATCTGAGATTGACCGATGGATGGATGGATTGACGGATGGATGAATTAATGGATGAATGAATGGATAGATGGCAGATGAAACAGATGAAATTTACATAAAGACAATTATTATTAAATAAATTTCACAATGAAAAAATGACCACAATATATGGAAGATTTGACTAAAATATACTAAAAAATAGATGGACAGTTGAGAAAGTGAATAAAATTAACATAAAAACGTGTTTTTAATAAATTAAATAATCTAAAATCAGAGCAAATGAACAGAGGGCAAAATTTACGAACAGAAAAACTACGCGTGTAAAGATAGATAAGGTGATGGATGAATGGTGCACAGCACAGTTGTAATGTTATTAAAATGCACAACAAGTGAAATAAATATATGTGTTGTTCAATATCGAAAGTTGTGACATATAAACACATATAAACACACACACACACCACACACACACAAACACACACACACACGCGAATAAAAACATACGTATAAACGTTCAAACACACACGTACACTCACACACATTGTCAGTTAATACACACAGACATGTAAAAACACGTAAACATTTGTGCGGTGTTCAGATCTTGCTGAAAAAAAAATTTATAAATATCGAAAATTTGAAATATAAACACACGTGTACATGCATACATACAAACATGAAAACATCTATGCAGATCTTATTGCCTGCAAATATAAGAAAACATTTTACGGATGGAATTGAAAACTAGTGTTGTTTTTGTTGTTGGAGTTGCTGCTGTTGTTGGAGTTGCTGCTGTTGATGTTGCTCCAACTTGCCCTTGAATTGATGCAATTGTTGATTTAGTTGCTGACTTGTTTTTTGTTCCTCTTCCTCATTCAACAACACGGGATATCCGCTTATGCCAGCGTCCATAACTCCATTCTAAAAAAACAAACAACGATTCATTTTCAATTCATCAATAAAAAGCAGCGTTAGATAAATTCATAAAATGCATTTTGATTGGTCATTAAACCAGCCAATCAAATTTATAATATTAAAATAAGCTACGCCTACCCAGCCACCATGTCCAATCACGAAGTGATTCATGTTATCGCAGAGGAACCTCGTCGTGTAATCGACCAATCTGGCGACGATACTTCTATCGCCCAATAGCAGAAGAGACATGGCGGCCGATTGACCAATCAGCAGAGGAACAACGACCTAGTAAAAAGAAGTATTTTCATAATTATCACGGAGTAATTGATCATAATTATTCCGTAGTAATTGATTATATGTATCTGGAATAAGCAATTAATACAAATTAATGATGCATAACTGAATATAATAATATAATCCATTTAATTTGCATTTTTTTCAAATAAATCGCCACCATCTACAAACCTGGGCCCACCCCGGTGCAACGTCCTTGATGATCTCCATAGTTATGCCCTTGAGAACTTCGAAGGTCAACTTTTTGCAGTTCTCGTACACCACAAGTTTACTTACTGCGTCAGATATCTCTTTTGTATATTCTGCTTCAACCTGTTTGTGTGTGTGTGTATGCGTGTGCGTGCGTGTGTATGCGTGTGCGTGTGAGGGTGTGTATAATGGCTTAAAGACGTTGCAAAGACGATCTTCTTTAATAAAATGTAGATAATTAATATGATTACATTTTGTAAAAAAACATTGTGTAAGTTTTATACACGCACGCACACGCACGCACGCACAGTCGCACGCACGCACAGTTGCACACACACACACATACACACACGTGTCAATTGACACACACACACACACCTGATCTGCTATAGCTCTCAACGTATCAGCAACCAAACTCTGTGGCGTCTGTGGGGGTGGTAGATCGTCCCCTTCCTCCATTCTGGCTTGCGGGAGATCTTGTTGGGGTACCTTGGATTCTGTCGATTCATTTTTAAAATTTATATAACGTAGAATACATTGTAAGAGTGGAAGGTTTAATTTATCTAAACTCAACTTTTCTTATAAATACAACATATTTATCGCAGAGACATAATTTAGTTTTCAATTGTTTTACGGAATTAATATTTTTAAAAGATCACTCACCGACTTCTTGGTCACTAATTCTCAAGCCATAGAGTTCTCTCTGAAGAGGAACAGCAACCGGACTGACCTGCCCATTATCAACGAGCGTCTCCAGCTTATTCACGTTGTTCACATCCACATAGAGAGTCTCTCGTTTTGAATCCGGACTCATGAGATCCGCGTCAATTTTCGCTTGTTTTGGTCTAATGATCCCACTGTCCATCGAATCAACTGACGATCCGTCTACAATATCTTGGCTTCTGTCGCTGGTTGTGTGGTGGTCGTCCTCGTCGTCGCCGTTGTCGACGTTGCTCGCCATCGACGATGATGTCGAGATGTTCGCGTTCAGGTGAAGGTGGTGATGGTTTTGTTTCTTGCTGTCGGATTTTGAGATTTGGTGGTCACTGATTGATTTCTGTCTGGCCGTCAGGTGAGGTTTTTTGAAAGATTTTTCAGTTGAGCTGATTCTACCGACGTTTTCTTTCGTTTTCAATGGGGTGTTGAAACTCTCTCCCACTAATTTAACCACACTTAATTTCGGAAGACTAATTGAGAAGTTCAAGTTTTTAACTCTGTTTTTCAATCTCTGCAATCTACTCACTGCATTTGATTTGTTATTATTGCCTTCTTTCAATTTGAGTATTTTATCATATTCAGAACCTTTATCAATTTCAGATTTGTCACTGTTCAAATCCTCTAAAATGATCAACTTGTCATTTTTTCTTATTATAGTTCGATACTTGGTTCTCGATTTCTGGTTAGTTTTGTACTCGCTGTTATAATTTTTCTTAAAAAAATTAACTCTGCCTGTGACGAGGTCGTCAGCTTTCATAATGGATTTCATCTTGAGGGGCGTGTGGTCGCGATTTGAAATGACGCTGACCGACGCACTGTCCACAACATCCTCCTCTCGTTGAAATGGTTCGAAATTTTTGGTTACCGGCGGACAGGATAGAGGAACGAGGCCCATAAAATCCATCACCACCATTCTCGTTTCTGATTCGAAATCATCGAAATTTGTGGTCATTGTCGCTGAATAACCGGCTTCCCAGCTGTTGTCAGAGTTAGTACAACTTAGTTCTTGCATGTTTGGTGAATTTTAAATTAAAATTGAAAATAATTAAACGAATGAAATTTATATTTTGTTATGTAATCTGTTATAAAATTTGGTTTCAAACAAATTTTTGAATGTTTAACTCTTAAAAATCGCGAGTTTTATCCAAAACGTTTCAATTTTCAGCTCGTAAAGGTAAACAAATACAGGTGCATCACAGGTGATTCACTATGATGATGATGTCCTCTTACTCTTTCGATGTAAACAAACTGACTGATCAACAAATAGAAACTTATCAATCACCAAATTTCGCCAACAAACTATACTTCCGAGTTAATTTTTAAAAATTATTTAAATTTCTTAAAAATTATTTAAAATACGCTCTAATTAGCAAACAATTTCAATTTAATTGGCACGTAAAGATAAAGATATATATATATATATATATATATATATATATATATATACAAGATACGTTACGCCAAAATCGCAATTCATTGATTTTGTTTCTTCATTTTTCTGAACCATCGACCCATCGCTAACCTCGATGCCGTGATGACTAGTCGTGAATAATGTAAATATGATATAACAGAGGCGCTTATACAACATTGTACAACACACACGCATTGCCTACATGCGTATATATAAACGTACAGTACATGTATGCCTAGATACGTACATATAATTGTACAATGTACATATAACATGTAGTAGTGAGGTATACATACATAGTGTTACACCTATTGTGTGCTATGTAACGAGAATCAGAGAGAGAGAGAGGAAAAGGAAGAGAGAGAGAGAAAAAGAGGATCCATACACCTTTACTTCAACAATGATGATACCGTATGATTAAATCATTGCTGTACAATTGAATGAAGGAATTAATAAATGATTGAATGAATCAATGAAAGATTTATGAAATTTTTTTGTAAAATAAAATGACAAACTACGACTGATGATTTTCAAGGATTTTTTATTTGTACAACACAAAAAAATTGCAAACAATTCTCAAAGAAGAAACTGTTCATTCAAATTCTCCAACTAAAAATCAAAAATAGACGGAGTGACATACCGAAAAATTATAAAAATTTCTAGTTATTACCAAAAAAGAAAAAAAAATTAACATTTAAATTTATTTATGGGCACCAGGCTTGCCAGCACCAGCCCCTCCACCACGACCCCCCCTGTTCTGCTTGCTACCATCCCCCCTTCCTCCTCTATTACTGAAGACACCTGTGTGGTGAATATGCAAAATTTTTACACATTTGTTTACTTATTCACAATTACATCAACAATGACATCAACAACGACATCAAAACAACATATACACATGGCCAAGAAATTATTTAAATATTACAAAATAATTCACCCCTGCCTGGACCACCCCTTCCTCTGGTCGTCCTCATCTCCCCTCTCCCTCTATTTTTCTGATGGATCTCCTCTTTCACCATGTCGATCACCTCGTCAGGGATCCGGAGGTACTTGATCATGCTGCCCCTGATGTAACATTCCGGCATTTTCCAAAATCTGTCACCATCCTGGTTCAAGAAAATTAGGAAGAGTAAGTTTAATGAATTAATGAATGTAAATAAATGAATAAATAACAATACAAATAATGTCAGACTGACCCTAGATGTACAGATGACCTCCCTGAGATTGATATTCATCCATGCATCACAGCAAACAAGATGGCCGTTGTAGGTCTCGCCATTTTTCAACTCCACTAACTAAACGAAATAAATAATTAAATTTTAAAAGTGCTGTTGTGACTTAGTTTAAAACTTTAGTTTAGATTATTTAATTATTTTTATTAGAAGAATTCTTAGTCGGTCAACAATTAGATTAGCAACACTGAATGACAGACTTTTTAAGTTAAAATTGTTAAAGAACATTTTGAAAATCCCCAAAAATCGCTCCGATGAGAAACTACAAGGTTATACAAACCAATTTTGAAAAAAATGAAACGAAAATCAACTCTAACTAAGTCTGTCTAAACTAAAAAGTAAAAACTAACTAAACTAAAAAAAACTTACCATGGGATGGTTGACCGCAGTTTTTAGAAGCGATATCGGAAGCTGTTTACAGAAAATATAAAAAAGTAAAATATAAAAACGTAGTATCAAATAAAACTAATTTTTTTAATAATATTTTGAATAATATTAATAAAAACCAACCATTTTTAAAAGCGAAACGTAAATCAAACCACTCGCCAACTTTATTATCGCTCACAGTTTTTTGTTTACTAAACGGTGTAGTAGCGAATTTTTAAAAATGATTTTGATTACTAAAATTTATTTTAATTTAAAAATTTACTAATTTATTTATTTAAATAAACAAACAAAATAAAAATTTATATTAACAAATGAAAATTTAAAATCTTAAAGGGACGCCAAAAATAAACCTAACAGTTCTTTGGGTATGAAGGTTTTTCTACCTATGTTATTAAACAATGGCGATCAAGTATATAAATGTATAAAAATTTGTATAAATATACCAAATATCAACAAAATATATACACAAGTATATATTTCCACATACATTTTATAAAAATATACACAAACATACCAGATATATACAAAGTTTCTATAAACATACAAAGACATACATATTCATATCATTGTATCACTAGGCCCTACTAATTAAATTCAGTAGCAGCTTGCTTTTGCAATGTTAATTTAATATCTTTTGGGGTATTATGTGTTCACTAATTTTTTTTTTACACTACAAATGACTTCTATTATTATTAATGTTAATTAATTAGAGATTCGAGATTTATTTTAAAAAGTTATTTGATAACTAGTTTTATTTTTATATAATAAAATAGAGACATTGTTGTTGGACAGCCGAACAAACGGACCATTATTTATATGAATTACCGTGTTTTGGGGAGAAATATTCGTATTTTGTTGTGAGCTCATAGGTTATCTTACTAAATTTGCCGTTCTGTTTTCACGTTTATTAAAAATATTTCGATTAGCGATCGAATATTTTGATGATTTTTCAACATGAAGTTAATCGTAATCAAAATTTGTTCTCTGTTGTTACTGGCCAAAATTTTTTACATCTTCTTCGTCTAATTATAAAAGATATTAAATAAAAATTTGTAAAAGATTGTAAAAATTTTCATATAGATAGATGAGTAGAAAATCCTCAAACATTTATATTTATTAGTTGTTTGCTTTTCTCTAATTTATTTTTTTGAAAGTTTGTTAAGTTGTCAATGTTGCCTGTTGAATAAATTCACTCCTAATCTAAAATTTTCTCTAATTCAGGATAGCAATAATGTCCAAACAGGCTACCCAATCATCCTTTTCGGGTCTCAATGGACTTTCCCTAGATGGTACTTTTTCAAAAATTTCTTTAATTTTACAAATTTTCATATTGATTCAAACTTTGAAGTTTTTTAAGCTTAAAAAATATCTAATCAACGGTAATTTTCATTATTTTCTAAAAATTGCTTCCAGTGTAACGGCTTTTTAAATTTAATTTCAATATGCAAGCTTAAGTCATTAATTCTGATATTTTTGGATTATTTAAAAAATTTAATCAACTACTAACATTTCTGTTTTTTTAATGATTCATTTAAATTTTGATATAAATTATAATGTAAGACTATTATTGTTAAAATATTCTTATGCATTGTCGTTGTACATGTAAATCAGGTGGACTGGCCAATGGCTGGAAAGACATGGGATCAATGAATTCATCGGGCAGCAATGCTTTTGACATTAGACTGCCATCCCAGGTTGACAGCTTCACATCTCCACAAAGCAACATGATTGACGATGTATTCGGCAATGATAGCTTCCCCTCTAAATTGCTAGGTGGAGATTTACTTAATGGGATACTCGGAGAAGACAGCAACGATTTTGAAGATGCATCAGTCAATAAAAAAAACAGCAGTGCATCTTCATCATCTGCCATCATAGGACAGACCAACAACAGCAGCAGCAGCAGCAACAACAACAACAGCAACAATCTAGAAAACATCTGGGGTGTTAGAGGAAGTGGATCTGAAAGTTCGATATTAGGCAGTAGCATCACTAATAACTCCATCAACCACCCGACCTCTACTACTAACAACAGCGTCAGCTCGACAGGAGATTACTCAAGTGCCTTTGCTCCATTTTCTAACAACGAGGGTTTGGGGTATCTAAGAAGGTCCTCATCTTTTAACAAAGACGACAAAACAGTCACAGTCACTAAAGGTGGAAACGATTCTTCAAAAGTTTCGAGTGGAGTCGAATCACCAATTGTCCTACCTCCTGAGTCATCGGCCAGCAACCAGGCCACATCCAACTTGGGCTTCATAGAGATTAATCAACTGATTCAGCAGCGAATAAACAGCAATGAAGGATGGGGTAAAGTTCCCATCCGTCAGGAAACACCATGGAGAATGGAGGGCAGCCAGTATGCACCTAGGAGAGATGAAGTGGAACAAATTCCTCAACAACCAGTTCCTCAGCCTGAAAGTTCAGGGCCATTCTGGGATCAAAATGCTCGAATCGCAAATTGCTCTGAGTCTGACCGTAACTTTGGTGTCTGGACAGAACCAGGAAGACCCAATGTTCCAGCAGGGTTGGGTGTTGCTCCAGGGATGGGTCTCGCATCTGGTGTTGGTCTCTGGAAAAACAGCCTGAGTGCCACAAGAGGAGAGACTCCTTCAGGCCAGTGGGCCAACAATCCGGATCCCAATTTAACTTTCCTTGCTGCAGTGGCTCAGAAATTAACAGAAGATCCAGCAACTGCTGCGGTACCAAAACCAAAGTGGACTTCGCAGCCACCACTTTCATCTCTTGGAGGAGTGGCCAATGGTCCAGCTACTGTTGTTGGTGCTGCTGGCAGTGGCTGGGAAGAAAAATCTGCAGGGGCTGCATTCACCCCATGGAATTCTTCTCAAAGGGTCAGTAATTGTGTAGCATGCTCGTTTTTTTAGTGGTGATGCTGCCATTTTACTGCTCTGGTCACTGGTCATTATGAAACATTGGAATCTTTTATGAGACATTTACTATAATTTATATACCAATTGTATTATAATAATTCATATACCAATTTATGATATACTATCATGGTTTGTTTCGTGTATTTTCTTCATTGTGATGCTGTATATATGCTGAAGTGACTTGATAGTTGTATTAATGTTAAATTTTCATTTGATATGCAAACTCGCGCTTTTGTCTAAATAATTTTATGTACAATAAAGGCAATGTATAAATGCTTAATCAGTCGAAGGAAAGTATTGTGAGATGATTTTACTTATCCAGTCAAAGTGATGTTATGGAATTTATTTGAATGAATTTATTTTATGGTAATTAATTTTAATACAATAAATGTAATTTAATGTGATTAAATTTAATTGGGAGACATTAATGTAATTAATTAATTTTAATACAATAATTGTAATTTAATGTGATTAAATTTAATTGGGAAACATTAACGTAATTAATTAATATTAATACAATAAATGTAATTTAATGTGATTAAATTTATTTGGACACATTAATGTAATTAATTAATTTTAATACAATAAATGTAATTTAATGTGATTAAATTCATTTGGGAGACATTAATGTAATTAATTTTAATACAATAAATGTAATTTAATGTGGTTAAATTTAATTTGGACACATTAATGTAATTAATTAATTTTAATTCAATAAATGTAATTTAATGTGATTAAATTTAATTGGGAGACATTAATGTAATTAATTAATTTTAATACAATAAATGTAATTTAGTGTGATTAAATTTAATTTGGAGACATTAATGTAACATTATATAAGATGATTTGTATTACTCAAGTGAGAATAATATCGGGTAAGTGAGTTTACTTGGGTGAAACTATTGTTAAAAAGGCAACAGTGTAGGTCTTTATAGTTTAATTGAATATAAATTTAATGCTAGAAATGTTTTGGTCTTTTAGTGATGGCTAGTAAAGTTATTAACGTGTAATTCAAACTATCGAAAACGGATTTGGTGCGTGTAATGTAACAGAAATTAATAATTTAGTCTTTTGAGGAATCAATTTTTTTTTATTTCCTTGATGCTATTTATCTATTATTTGGTGTCTTTACTATTTTTTGTCTATGTAAACTACAAAGACTTTACTATTTTCAATTTTTTTGGCACTCATTGTTTCTTATTTGATATCTTTATTATTTCTTATCTATGTATCTTTAATTACTATGGCACTCATTGTCTAATTATTGGATATCTTTATTAATTAATTAATTAATTAATTAATTTATCTATGTATTTTTAATTTCATCTTTATCTTAATCTAATCTTATCTTTAAATCAATCTTTAATTGATTGATTGATCGATCTTTAATTTCTTTGGCTCTCATTGTCCTGGTTATGACATTAAACTGACCCTCACTGCCTTGTGAGTGATGTTGGATCATCAAACGCTAAGCCCACCGCTTATAACTGGTTGCATAAGGAAGGGCGTCCTGCGTAAAAATTAGCCAAATAAATTACTTATGATGACAGAAGTGACAATGGCCCTCAGTATCTGGCAGAAGAGGGTGAATGGCGTCGAGGGGTATTTCGGTTTCATCATAGGTAGGCAAACGGCAACCCCCGATCTCGGGGAAAATGTCGTCTAAACGTGTGTTGTTGTTTGTTGTCTCATTGTCTATAGTAGAATTTGTAAAACCCACTTGAGTACTTACTGATTAAGTTGTGTGATAATATACTGATTATTGCTACTAATTAAGCAATGAATCATCATGAGTAAATGTGCAAGTATTTTTACTATGAGTAGGTAGCAAAGCCAAAGATTTCTAAGCCAATAACGAAGAGAAAATTAGTGTAATGAGTTGTTCCAGGAATTAATGACATTAATGCTTCATTGCATTAATGTCATTAATTAAATCATTCGCACCAACATTACGACCACAGCAACATTGTCGTAACACAGCATGTACAGTTTACACAACGATATTATCTCTTTAGAGTTTCTCCTACTGTGTATTTAAAGATGCATGAAGGATAGGTCACACACGTTGTATGTTGTAGGCGGGGCTGCTTGCATTCGATCCCGACTACTGCGACAGTAGCGCCAAGCACCTTACCCGCTACACCGGCACTAACACAACAGATACAAGGCACACATGGCAAACATGAAAACTACATCAATTTTCAGGTTGATAGCAATCCAGTTGTGGATTTCAACAATCCGATGCTACAACAACTTATCAACCTTGGCATACCTGTAAGATAATTATTTTTATTACTTGATTGCGGTCATAATTTTATTATATTTTAATATTATGATAATATTAATATATTATTATTATTATAAATCTGTGATAATTGTGATTTCTTCTAGATTGAAAGCGCTCAGAAACTCCTACAGAATACGGAGAGCCAGCAACAACAACAGCAGCAGCAGCAGCAACATGATAACTTTAATAACCGTTTGTTCTGCTTTGTTCATTCATTATTATATTTCATTGCTTGGTTACTTTATTTGCTTCTTAATTCTTAATTTATTACTCTAAAAATGTTAGTAATTAGATTATTATCTCTTTACCTGCTCCTCAACTAACGGTCTGATTGATTGACTGACTGATTGATTGACCAATGAACCAACTAAGTATCACCTAAATGACCTTTGACATCACAGCCGCCAGCAAATTAGGTTTCGATGCTTCTCGCGGTCGCGCCCTCTACCCTCAAAAAACCCACAACGCCCCCACCATTCCACCGACACTGCCACAGCCACAACAGCAGCAGCAGCAGCCGTTTGGCTTCAGCCAACCGCCACAACAGCAGCAGCAACAAAATAGGATGGATTTCGGTCATCATCAACAGCAACTACATCAACATCAGCAGCTTTTACACAACAATCTGTTCATGCCCCCTTACAACGTTAACAATTCTAATGGATTGGTGCTGCCTAATCCGCAGGCTCGTTCTTGATGATGCATGTTTTTTTCAGTTACGACTGTTCGTTGCACACTAACCTGGTTCAAATGTAGAGAGGCTTCTTACATAGCGTACAGTTTTATACGAGTCATTTACATCATTTTGCATGTGTGTTGTGAGAGAGAGAGAGAGAGAGAGAGAGAGAGAGAGAGAGAGAGAGAGAGAGAGAGAAAGAGAGAAAGAAAGAGAGAGAGAGTTTGTTTTACATCAAAAGCTTTTCAAAATTCTAAACATGTTGATATATTTTTTCAGGACAATGCAATGGCAAATGCCCAGAAGTTACTACTAGCACTACAAATACAACAGCAGCAGCAACAACATCAGCAGCAACAACATCAGCAGCAGCAACAACAACATCCCAGTGTTGGCAACAATGCTGATCTGGCAGCTATGATGATGATGATGGCTGAGCACACAAAATCTGGTCACTACATTTGTATATTTTGTCTGTCTGTATGTTTGCATTTGTCCAAATTTGTACTTTCTTGTATGTTTATTTTGTTTGTGTGTGTATGTATCTTTGTATACGTTTGTGTATGTATGTATCTTTGTATACGTTTGTGTATGTATGTATCTTTGTATATATTTGTGTGTGTATGTATTTTTGTATGTGTTTGTGTGTCAATTTTGTCAGCCAACCAATTGACAACTAATATTAACTCTTTTGCTCTCACCATGCGTTCAACATCAACAACAATATCATCAATAGCAACAACATCAACAACAACACAACAACATCATCGTCAACAACACAACAACATCATCATCAACAATTACAAAACCGACAACATCCGCGTCGTCATCGGCTTCTTATTTTCCCAACACAGGTGACAAAAGCGAGGCCATGATTTCTCAACTCATGAATACCATTCGTCTCGAAGGCAAGAAAGATAACGCGAACTGGTGGATGTCCCAACAGCAGCAACAACAGCACCACCAACAGCAGCAACAACCATCTCTACAACAGCAACAAGGACTCAGCAGCAGCGGTGGTGGCAACAACATCGACGACAGCAACTTCTGGAGTCTTCCAGGTGCTGACGAAACCTCCCTATTCATGCCAAACAGCAACAACAACAACAGCAGCAACAACAACAGTAATATGAATGCCAACATGAATGCAAACATGATGTTCAACAGCAACAGAATGCCATGGCAGCCGAACAAACAACAGCCACCCAACACTGCTAACGTTGCTTATAATTGGATACTCATTAAGCATTTCAATGGAGTTAGTTTATTGTGTGCCTGACCGTGTTTTATGTCAATTTTTTTCAAGCCAAGGTCGTCTGTAAAGTCATTTATTTACCGTTTTCCGAATTGCTTGTTCAACTGCCTGCACTGTCAAAGAAATTTGTTCTTCTATTTTTGTCATTATAGATGAATTTTAGAGACGCGTTGACTACAATTGACACACAACCACACAAACACCCAGTCACACATTGTACAACGACCTCAACCGTGCAATCACACAATCTACAACAACTTCACAAACGACAACCACCACAAAACAGGACACAGCTTCACTAAGTCACATCTGCCAACAAAATCGAGCCCTCCGACAATTTTGTGGCGCCCAGTCAAACTCAATCCTTATATTCTTCCCGACCACTGACGACGCCATGAAGGCCAAGGCCTCTCTAGCTCTCTCCAGGGTTCAGTCGGACTTGCTGGACAGCACGATGGCGAATCGGGAACTTCAGTCCGGGATGTGGGCCCCGATGCCCCCCATCCAGGCCCACCACCCTCGAGGCGGTCTACCTCCCTGGAATCGATTCTAAGCAGTGGCTGGATCGGGATGATGGTTTTTATGAAGTGGAGATTTGCGTTTGCTTGGCTGTCTGTCTGTCTGTCTGGCTGGCTGACTTTGTCTGTCTGACTTTTTGTTTTTCGGTCTGTGTTTATTTATTTGTTTTGATTGATTGATTAATTAATTGGTTGTTTGGTTAATTAATTAATTAATTAATTAATTAGGGAAAGATATCATTATCCATGTTTTAGCTTGATTTATTTTTATAACTTGTTGTCTGTTTTTTGGCGTTTTTTTAGACCACGTTCTCGTCGCAAGTGTTTGTCCTTGTCCTATCGTTTACCTTTTGAGTGTTTTTATACTTTGTTATTTAAATAATAACAATAATAATAATAATAATTATTATTATTATTATTATTACGTCATTTCGTTTGGTGATATTGCATCTATGGTTGATGATGATGACGACGACTTCATTTCGTTTGGTGATTTTATATCTATGATTGACGATGATGACGACGACGACGATGATGTTGATATAGTCTGTCGCGTCATGCTATGTGCGGTGGCTAACGTGAAAAAACCTCCTGCTAAATAAAATATCATTTATGATATTTTCCAGAATTTTTTTATAATGAATTAATTAGTTAATTGATTGATTAGTTAATTAATTGATTGACTAATTGATTAATTAAATAAATTATTGAATGGTTATCTAATTAATTAATTAATTAAATAGTTAATTAATTAATTGTTAACTTTGTTTGCAAATTAATACT